AGTGTGCTGGCTCAGAGGCTGATGCTAATGTGCTGTTTTACTTGCATATATGAATAATCTCTAGAGTAAGTGAGCCCAGGTAGGTGAGGTAATATCTTTTATTGGTCCAACTTCTGTTTAGTGAGAGGGTAAAGCTTTCAGGCCCACAGAGCTCTTCTTCAGGCAGCCTTCTTGGCTGCTGTTTCATTCTCCATGTCTGGACTCCTCATGCATACATTTTGTTACATTGGATGTTTATCATATTAGGGTAGATTAAGAGACCTTGCTTTCAATTACAAGGCCTAGAACTTGGTATAGTGATATATCCCCGGTCATAATCCCAGATCTTCTGAAGTAGTCTTGCTAAGTTAGGTACTAAGGTCCTATAGGATCAGCATCTTTGAACATTAATCCTCAGACCTCTTGAACTCCCATTCAGGTGAAGATATTTAACTCTTTGAGTATCTAGATTGAACTTTCTTTGCAAAACATTAGCATTTGGTTTGATTTTTTTCAAGTTCATTTTTAAAGCAGACTCAGATGAATATTCATGATTCAATGCCAAGGGTGGTATTTAAGCAGAGAGTGCAAACACTGATCCAAGCAAAAAAGTCATCTGTGGAATAATCTTTGAATGCATCTTTCTTGTTTGTTTTTTTTTAAAATCATTAGATACACATTGAACTTTCACGTGTGATCTGCACCCTCGTGTGGTTTTCTTTTAATTGAAGCTAATTGCTGATTCTTTTCCCCTCTTTGTTTTTGAATGCAAAAGAGTTGATACCAGAGAGTTGCCTCTCTTCTAGCACAAAGTAGGTAAAAGATCAAGGAACAAGAATAAAGAATATAGACAAGAGAAATGTTACATAAGAACAGTCTCAGTGGAGTGAAATCATTTGCCCATTTTGTGTATAATCTGACAGAAAAAATGACCTGCACTTCTGATTCCCACCAAGAGGAGTTGGGTTGCTTTTAAAAACCATATACTATATGGCAGTGCAGTAGAGATCCAGGTTACACATTTATTCACAAAAAATATAGTTAATATATTACATATTTTGATCTGCCTTCACAGCTTCCTGTTAAAGTAGCAAGTGAATAATAATATCTTTGTGTAATATCCTATGTATTTGGATGAGACTTACAAAGCAAAGGTTAAACCTTGGCTCCACTGAGGTCAATGGCAAAACTTCCATTAATCGCAGAAGGCTGTCTGATGCCCATTTTAAGTATTTAAGTATTAATGGTATCATCTTCACGGCTGAATATTTTAGCAGAAATTATAACAATGCACCTATTTGACTTTCACTGATACAGTGGAGCTGGGTGAAGTTGGGTGGCTAATTTCTGTCAAAGACTGCTGGGATAGGGAAAGAGGAAATCAAACCATTCCCCTCATCCCCAGGAAACTGCTCTGTTGTCCACTCCCCATGAGCAGTTCATATTACAATTCTTATGAAATTAATCTAAAAATTCAAGCAACTGTGCACCGAAAAATTACTGCAATATTCATCTGGCCTTAGTCTGAATTAATGTTCAGCTAGTTGGTCATTACCCTTAATATCTGTCTAACCCAGGGGTGGGCAAACTGTGGCCCGTGGGCTGCTTCCGGCCCATCAAATAGTTTGTATCTGGCCCTTGAGCTTCTGCTGGGGAGTGGAGTTGGGGGCTTGCCCTGCTCTGCTTGGTGCTCCCACCAGGGAGTAGAGTCAGGGGCTTGCCCCATCCCACCTGCCTGGCACTCCCCAGCCCTGACTCACAATTCCCTTGATGAGCACCATCTTCCGGCACGCAGAGTCTCACTGCGCAGGCATGATTTCATCACGCTGTTTCTGGGATCGGAAGCCTACCCCTATGCGGCAGTCCCTCCCCTACCCCCATGCAGCAGCACGCCCAATCCCCTTCCAGACTCCTATGGCCCCACCCTCGAGAGCCGCGAAACCACCCAGGGGCCACAACCATCCCAGCTAGGGTGCCATGGCGGTGCCTGGTATGGCCGCCCTGGTGTCACTGCCAGCAGGGCCCTTAGGAGTCCCCTGGACTGCCCCTGTAGAGCCCATGGACAGTGCCACACCTCATGAGACCCCTCTCCCCCCACCTCGGTAACATCCCTTATAGAGCCCCCCCACCATGCTACACCCCATAGAGTCCCCCTCCCTCACCGGGCATTCATGGTCTGCCATACGATTTCCATACCCAGATGCGACCCTCAGGACAAAAAGTTTACCCACCCCTGGTCTTTTTAAAGACCAAACCTTGTAAGTATGAATTAATTTCAAGCAGTGAAAAATACCTTGGTTTAGTGGTAAGATACTATTGAGCAACAATGAAGATCTGCAAACTCAATGAGCCTGTGCTCTGAAGGCAGGTGCTTTTGGAAATCCCACTCATTATGTCTGTGCAAACAAGAATCTGGGTGAAATTTGCCCCATTGCAGAAATCCAGCACAAGGACAGATGTACTGTATGGGTCTCTTGCTGGTAGGGTGACCAGATGTCCCGACTTTATAAGGATAGCCCCAATATTTGGGCAGTCTGTCTTACATAGGTGCCTATTACCCCTCACCTCCACCCCCATCCCAATTTTTCACACTTGTTATCTGGTCACCCTATTTCACCCTTTGTGGTATTGTGGGTATCACCAAACTGGATCAGACTAATGGTCCATCTAGCCTGGGATCCTTTCTTTGAAAGTGGTGCAAGAAACCTCTTAATGCACAATAATGGAATAATCAACCATACAACAAGTCTTTTCTTAATCCCTGTCAGTTACAGCTTGACTTCTCGATGAGTGTGTGTAGTTCATTTTTTTTTAAACACATGTTCATATGATAACTAAAGTAACTGCAGATGGTCTCATTATACATATACCTAGGGTGAAATCTTGGCCCCATTGAAGTCCATGGGAGCTTGCCATTGACTTTAATAAGGCCAGGATTTCATCCCTAATCCTTTTTAGAAGCCTACTGAGCTTTTGACTTTAATATGATCTCGTAGCAATCAGTTCCAAAGGTTAATTACGCATTTTGTGGGTTTTTTTAAAAAACTCTATCCGAATTAATCTCATTAATGCTATATGATGAAATCTTGACGAAAGTCCATTTTATGTTACATGAATTGAACTGTTCAACTGTGCTCAGTGGAGATAATGTAATGTACCCACAGATAATAGGGAGGGAGCAGAAGAGGAGGGGGATATTGTATACTGACCCTAGACTAATTTGTCTCTTCCAGCTGCTCCCCCAAAAAGGGAGAAATCCTCTCCTACTTATACTACACTCAAATGAAACACAAACTCCTGTTAATGTACAATTCTTAATTTTCAACCATCCTGTTCAGAGGGGCCTTGAGTCAAGAGTTTTAAAAGTAATTAGTGTTTTTGGGCACCTCCATTTTTGGCTGCCCAGCTTTAGACACCTTAATGGGGCCTGACTTTCAGAGGATGTGAACACTTTAAGGAAAACCAGGCTCCTTTAAGGCATCTCTGGTTGGACACCCAAAATCACTAGCTACTTAAAACTCTTGGCCATGATTATGGTCCTCTTATGTCATAAATTTTGGTCAGAAAACATTAATTTAAATAAAATATCAGAGGATGAGACTAAGGAAAGAGAATGCTCTCAGAGACTTTCTTTCCTTGTCAGTGGACAGGTCACCAATTAATCCTGACCCAAATTTAGTTATTGACAAAATGATAATATTGGAATGGAAAGGAGACAATGTATGGGGTGTAACTGTGTTTTTAGGATTTAAGCACATACCAATAAAGAGCCTTCACCCAATGCCAAATAAGTGCTTCAGCAATTGTCAATGCCTTTTTCTTTGTAGATCAGCTTTACAATTACTCAGTGAGTGAATCATAGAAATTAGGGATGAAAAAGACCTATTAGGTCATCTAATTCATCCCTGCAATCAATTCAGAGCTATTCCATGCAGTATAATCTCCATTCCAATTTTAAATATCTCAAGCAATGGGGCTCCCATAATTTCCTTGAAGAGATTATTCCACAGTTGTTAGGGATTTCCCCATCATTCCTGATATTCAGCCTAATTGTTCCCTTGCTTAATTTTATTGCTTTACTCCTAATTGTAAATCCTAAAGATTATTCTCCTTTCTTGGAACCTAATCCCGCTCTCTTTGGAGTCGATGGGAGTTTTGCTGTTGGATTTAATGGTAGAAGTATTGTGCTCTTGGTGTTTTAAATACTTGTGAATGGTTATCATGGACCTCAGTCTTCCTCTTTAGTGGAACATTGAGTCCCAAATATGAAGTTGAAACAGTTAAAATTATAAATAAAACATAAAAGGCCCAGGCCCTACCCCAACTCTGCTGGGATTACTGATCTGAGGATGGTGTGGTATTTACTAGCTTGGAGCCAGACCCTGGTAACATTGTGTTGTAAGCCCTCCACCCAGTTGTGTAGGCAGGATGGGGCTTAAAGCTTCTAAATTGTCTGCTTGTTCCAAACTGAGTTCCTAAAAAGGTCACAGACTTGATGTGGTGGTCTCACATTTTGAATAACAACTTGTTGTAAACCTGGAGCTTCTCTTTTTCCCTCCCTTCCCATGCAAACATTCTGACCATATGGGACCCAGTCCAGGACTTAAGGGTGCTCAGCACCATGTAGGACTGGCCCATGGGGTCTAGGGTTGGCCCTCTGATGTTGGTTTGGGTGAGGGTTGGAGTTGGAGGAAAGAGGAATCATAATTGAGGCAACTAGTATAGAAGATGCAAATTCTTGCTCATGCATAGCACTGTAGTTAGAGAGATTATTTGTGATGATAGGGGCTACTCCTAGGAATAAGGGTTTCAGGACAGGTCCCATACCCTTTAAAATCCATTTAGTAACACAATTTAAATGTAGCAGTTTTAAATTAAGGTGCTGATATGGGTGTTCTATAATCTCCAGTCCTGATATTCTCCTGTTGTTCACACATTCCTTTGTTCCCAGACACAATTACAGCAGCCTGTAAACAACAGACTGACATGATCAACCACAGAAATCTACTTTTTATTTGGCATTCATTCCATTTATTATATATACATATTTAAAATCTGTACACATAAAATACAAAATAAGTGTTTTTTTATAAGTTACACAGTTAAACAGCTACTTTTTTAGTTTAAAAACCATGGGGAAAAAATGAGAGAAATCTTATCAGTCCATCTTTATACTCATTCACAATAACCTTGGTATAAAACATCCATACAGCGTAAGTGTACAAAATAGTGTACAGTTCATAAAAGCTGTGCAAAGACAGCAAAGTTCAGTCAAAAATCAAAGAGGCATATCCATTATCCTCCATCCACATTTAACCTATACTAGAAGCAATGTAGAAATTGATCACAGATGTGTGGACCAAAAGTGGTTTAGAGAGTGCTTTAATTGCTGCACCAATTAAAATATAAACACATAGATCCCAGCTTTGAAACCCTTGTTCATGCCAGTTAGTTCTTGCTTATGAGGGTCTAGGTTCTCTGAATTAAGTAACAACATACTCCAAATGTGTCCCACTGACCTACTTGGAGTATGGTGCTACTGGATGTGATTAAGAGGAGCGGGGTCTGGTCCATGAATAGTTCCACAGGGATTACTCACATGTGTAAGGACTACTCATGAAAACAAGGGTTCCAGGATCAGACCATACAGCTTCCATCATTTCCATAACTTAATAATAGCAAGGAGTTCTCTTGAAATCTAATAAAAGGATTACAGCGTTTACCATGATTTTGTCTAGAAACCACAGTCCCCGCTCCATTTTATTACTTCCCCCTTGCTATATACCAAGCATGCCTTCCAAAATAGGGTGTTCCAATTATCTTGTCTGTGGCTTGAATAGGGAAAATGCAACATCATACAAGTTTGGTTGCTAAACATACATACAAAGAGAGAGAGGAATGGATGCTATGTATACAAGGCCTGATAAGCAGAGCAAATAGACAAGGAAAGGAGTGTAAGTGTAGACAGACCTGGCTATGCCGTAAATAACCTGCATGTGAGAACGATGTAGACATTCAGGAGGGACACCACCTCTTCAATTTTATAGCGCGTCTATATTTCTATTTGATTTACATCTTTGCAAAGTCCCCTGTTGCGGTGGGGGCAGGCAGGAGATCTAAGAGACTGTGATCTCCTCCTCTTCCTCTTCCCCCTCATCATCCTCTTCCTCCGAGTCTGAGAAGTCTGAAGGTTTGCTGGGGCTGCTGGAGTGGGATGGAGAGGGGGGCATCTGGGAGTCCAGTCTGTCCCTCAAGTGTAGGTGCTGTGGGGACTGGTGGTAGGTCAGGGTGTGCCGAGGGCTGGCTGGGCACAGAGGGGACACTTCTTCTTCCTCCTCCTCCTCCTCTGAACATTTCTTGCCCACGTCGCTGAGGTCTGGGTGAGGGTTGAACTTGGTGGGTAAGGTTTGTTCCCTGCAGCCCCCGGAGGAGAGGAGCTCTCTCTCTTTGGAGTTCCTCCACTTCATCCTTCTGTTCTGGAACCAGATCTTCACCTGGATGGAAAGGGATTCACAAAGCCCCGGGCTCCGGTTACGGAGAATTGTAGCGTAGGCGGCGGGGCACGCGTGACTTACGGCGACTACCACCGCTCCAATGCGCAGCTGCTGAGAGCTTGCCGCGGCCCAGAGGGAGTCTGATCTACTCTCAATTCATATCAGCTCCCCAGGGCAGGCATTGAAGCCTCGGGGGAGGGTGTGGACGGTGCCCAGCGCGCAGTGGGCACTAGCCGACTGTAGCTGGGCAGCCCAGCTCTATTGACTCCCGATAGCGATGCCTCGGCTTGCTCTCCCTTTCGCTTTCTCCCACTCTGGGCTCTCTGCTTGTCTTTGAATGCCCCCCCCCCCCACCTGGAACAGCCTTCGGATCTCCCTGCTCCACCTGCCAGGCCGCTGCCTCCTCCCACTCCAGCCTTAGCGGTTACTTCATCCGCCTTGCCTTTGATCTCTTCTCCCCTGCCCAGCGCTAGCCCGAGCGCAGGCTGGATGCGGGGAGCGCCTCGTGTTATCACCCCGCAGGGCGCTGGGCCCCAGCCAGCCCTGCTGAGGTCTGTGGGAGCGGAGAGCGCCCAGGAGCTGGCAAGATCGGGTCCTAAATTGTAAGATCTTTGGAGTAAGGCTCTTGTCCCTTTCCGCCTCTTGTCTAGGCTCCATCGGTGTGCGTGCACCAGGCTTGAGAGGATAAAGGTGGCGAAGCGATGACACGTGGGAAGGGGAGGAAGGATAGGGAAAGGAAACCCCATCCCAGCTAGCGAGGCGATCCCTCTTTGTGTACGCTCTGGTTTCAGAGGAACAGCCGTGTTAGTCTGTATTCGCAAAAAGAAAAGGAGTACTTGTGGCACCTTAGAGACTAACCAATTTATTTGAGCATGAGCTTTCGTGAGCTCACGAAAGCTCATGCTCAAATAAATTGGTTAGTCTCTAAGGTGCCACAAGTACTCCTTTTCTGTGTACGCTCTGTAACTCCCCACCCAGGGGGGTCCACATTTCTTCTCCCTCCGTGTGTCTCTCTAGGGGCTCTACCAACAGTTGCTGAGTCCACAAGGACAAGCTGTGTATCCTGATGGACAGTCGTGTGCTAAGTGCCCTTAAGGTGGCGCCCAGCAGCTAGCAGGATTGGTCCCAATGGGCCAGTGACAGACATCCCCGCCAGTGGCCTGCGAAAGGCTCTCCCCTTGGAGGGCGTGATGCTGATCACATGGCTGGTCCTTGGGCCCCCATGCCCGCTCGCCCAGGATGAATGCCGCCCCCCCCCCACGCAAGCGCGCACACCCGGGGGCTCTTAATTACCTGCGAGTCTTTGAGCCCCAGTTTGGCTGCCAGCTTTTTCCTGTCTGGTTTGCTGATGTACTTCTGCTTCTGAAACATTTTCTCCAGAGCTTTGCGTTGCACGTCCGAGAAGACTGCCCTGCGAAGCATCCCTCTGCGGGGCTTCCCTCTAGCAGCCAGGGGCCAGGAGAAAGTGCCAGGGATAGGCACCACCGAGGAGGACGCTGGGGAAAGAGACAAGAGCAGAGACTAAGCTGAGCTAGCCAAGAAACAGCACGCTTTCCCCCGCTTTCTACTTTTTCGCTTCTCCCCCCTTCTTTCCTTTAACTTCTTTGCACTTTCTCCAGTTTTTTCTTCTCTTTTTCAACTTTCTTTCTGTCTTTTTCACTCTTCCGCCCCCCCCCCCTTCACTCTGTACACACATCCCACTGAATGGACCAGCACCTATAAACCTGAAGCAATGAAAGGAACTTTCCGCTTAAATAACTGTCCCTTTCAACAAGTGAGAACTAGGATTAGATACATCAACTGAAACGTGTAAAATGTATCAATAGTGGGCTGTTTTGTTATGTGTTTCAAAGGTTTGCAGCTTGAAAAGGCAAAGCGAGGCGTACCAACTAAGATAGAGGTATAATAAAGATTTCCGCCCCCCCCCCCCAAAGTATTTGATTTTTCAGAAGCTTTTATCATTTCAGGCACTTTATTATTCTTGAGATGAAAATGAGGGACTTTTCTGGTTTGAACAAAAAAGTCCTCTTTAGATGCAGTTTTGATCAATCAGTATTCATCTTTTTTATATTAATCTTCCCTCCCCCCTTACAAAACTTGAAGAATTCAATCCGAAGACATGAAAAGTAACAGCTAATTAGCACATTGACTGGTTCCCAATGGTATTGGTATGATAAAAAGGGCACAGTTTCGCCTTTAAAAAAATCCCAAAGAGAGACAGAGATTCTAATGAAGCGTGAATGGTAATTGTGTAGTAATGAACTAACAGAAAAAGACTGAGGACAAGCAGCTAAAGCCATATATTATTGGAACAAAAGAGATTTACACTTTCAAACTAAACACAACTGCATGCCAAGCTCCTTGGGAGAATACTGATGACACAGTCTTCTCTTCCCCAAATCATTTTCATTAAATGGACATGAAAAGCTATTTATAAAGCTCAAGTTGTTTTTGTTAGGCCATTCACATGCTGGAGAAAAGAAGCAAATTCCATTATCAGGAGCATGAATGGAAGAGCTTGGATTATTTTCTTCCTCTTTTTTTAAAAAAATATTAATAGCTTGTTTGTCTAATTAGATTTTTTTAATTGTTGCCCCAAATCCTGACTCTTTGCAGCTATAGGACTCGGATCTCAATACCCCGAGCCTTCTTGATTTTTATTTTTCTTAATCCGTGTAAATGTCATTACATTGGAATAGCCATTATTGGTTAATATATATAAATATATGAAATCGGAGACTCAAGAACGAAATGATGAATATACTCTCTGGTTTAAGGGGATAAGATTTGCATTTCAATCTCACTATTATTGAGAGAAGGGGATAATATTTAGTAATAATATGACACTGAAGACACAAAGTAGGCAATGAAAAGGTTAATGAACTTTTCATCGTAGTCTTGATTTGTTTTGTTTACCTGCCCAGGTCGTATTTGTAAATTTTCGAATGGACAGGGGTTTGGGTATGTATGTGGCTTTTTTGCCACACCGAATACCCCAAACAAGGGAACGCTCCATGTGGTCTTGTGAAAATACTGGAACACTGAATGACCCTTAATGGGAAATTAGCCCATGGCTGGTAAATGTCTATCAGCAGCATGGTAAAGTCAGCGCTAGGTCTGTGTGTGGCTGCCCAGAGGGAGCTGACCAAATTGGTCATGGTGCTGAAACTTTTGTTGGGGATCACCGGCAGAGTGCACTGACTCTGTGGGAAAACCGCAGCCATGAAGAGGATGCCAGCAGCTTCTCTGTGAGAAGGGAACCGCCTCAAATTTGGACCATGACAATTCCGGCTAATTTGTAGATCAGGGGGGAATTGGTACGAAATGTCAAGCAGTCACTGCTTGTGCTAAATAGGGCATCAAATTGGCGCGACGGATTCTTGAATGTTGTTTTCCGTCCAACCTCTGAACTAGAGCATAACCCCCAAGGGTGGACGGAGAAATATTACTGGGATATGCCTGGAACAAGTAAGGGGGATGGGAGTGGAGGAGAGCGATGAGATAGGAGTCAGGAGAGGGAAGGGGAGGGGCTTTAAGACCTACCTGGGAAATAAGAAGATCTGATAAAAGGCTGGAAGGATCCTTCAAAGTATGGAAAGGAGAATGTCTTTGGAGGGACACTCGGAAGCAACGCAGGGGAGGTTTCTGGCAAAAATAAAAATAAAAGCAAATAAAAAAGGATATTTACCGTTCACAGGATTCCACCAGTAGCAGGAAGAGAGCAGTGGAGATGATAAAGTAGCAGCTCAATACAATATTTCTTCCCTAAAGCAGATGCAGACGGATCAAATTAATCTGCCTGGTTATAGTTTAAAAAATAACCTTGTTCCCGGGAGTGTGTTTTCTTTTTCCCAGGGAACGGATACTAACGAGGCAGAGATTAGGCACTTTGGCATCGTTTATCAGACTCGACAAACCACTCTGCTCTCCAAAATTTAGAGGGATCCTCATCATTTCTGCAAAGATTCAAGATGCAATGCGGCAGAACGAACGGAGAGCCAGGGCCTCCCATCACTCTTCAACCAATGCTCTGCAGAAGGTCTCTGCCTCTGGATTGCAGGTCTCTCCCTCCCTCCCCCCCTTTCCTCAAACACTCAGATGATGATCATTTCTTCAACACTGGCAGTGATGTATAGGAAGAAACTCTTCCCCCCCCCCCCAAGACTGGAAAACAGTGCACAGGAATAAGCTCCCGCTAATCCCCCTGAAACACTAAATTGAGGCGCTAAAAGTTGGCCGCTTACCAGCTCTAGGAGTGGACGAGAGGATGGCGTTGACTCCAAACTTCAGGAAAGTGGAATCGTTATTGGATGAGACTGGAGTCTGCGGGGAACAGACCCTCCTAGCGCTAGAGGTGTTGCAGCTGACGAGCTCTGATGTCACCGTGTCTGTCCTGGCTGTGTTGGTCCCGGAGGCTGGAGGGGACATGCTAGGCGGAGGGCCGTTCCTAGGCAGGTAACTGGCAGGCCTGCTGATCCTGATCAAATCTTCCACCAAGAAGCTAGAATGGCTAGAAAAGGCTGACTGCAGAGATTGAGGCAAAGTTAAAGTAGGAGTTGGCCGCAGGAGACTCGGGTACACAGCCGGAGGAGCTATGAGACTTGGGAACATCATCGCAGAGGCTGAGCAAATACTTTTCAGGGTCCAAGGAACCTGGCTTGTTTTTTTTTCCCCTGCTTTGCAAACCTCTTTAGTAAAGATCCAACTAATAAGTCTGGCAGGGTTCTCTTTGCCCTTCCTCCTGGATGATGGGTTTTATAGTGGTCAGCCCTGCTAAAGCTCTTTCAAAAGTGACAGCTCGAACAAAGGGGTTCAACAAAGTTCTCCACTTGAGCTTCATTCATCGAGAGCTCTGGGCTTTCTGATTGGTCCAGGGGTGCAATTTATGATTGGATTAGACTTCATAAACAAGCAATGCACAATGGCCTTGCAACAAAGAAAGTGTAGTCATCAATTTTGCATATTGACCGCCTCTTTGGAATACATTTCTCCAAAAGCTCCCAGCAGGGTTTTGTTCAGAAGCAACACACACAAGCTAATTAAATGCCTATTTAAAAGTTTCAAATGACATCTTGCCTCATAGAAAAAGAATTATTTAAAGAAAGCACTAAATTTATTTGCCGCTCCCCTGCCGAGTTTAGGAAATAAATCAATAAATATTCATACAAACTTATCTACAGGCTGTCAAAAAAGCACCATTTTTGAATAAAGGAAGATACAAATTAGTGAACATAAAATTAAACTCTGCTGATGAAAAGATCCTGATATTGGATTTGATTTTTTCTGAAAATGTCTTCTGTGCTATCCTATGCAGTGAAGTTTGAAAGTATACTGTACGAATGTAAGACAATCTTTTCTGTCCACGAAATCAAGTCTACAAACATTTGGAATATAAACTGATTTGAAGGATTACATCTGTTTTTGTTACTATGCCGATGATTGGATAAGTAATTTTGTGTTCAAACAGGTTTGCAAATAAACCTAAATGTAATAGTTATTTTACTTTTTTAGTTCATAAGGAACTGCGGAAATATGAACATTAAAAATAGAAAAGACCTATAAAACTCTAGTAACACAACAAACAAACAACTGACATTTTAAATCGGCTGGTAGGGTTTATCCAATCTATTTTTTGTAAATAGTAGAAATAAACATTATTTGAAAGTGAAGGCGAGTGAAACATTCCGAAGTCTTTACCCATATTACTAACATAAGTATTCTTTGAGTTTGTGCCATTTTTTTTGTCAACAGCAGTTTTAAAAATATAGCTTGAATCCTTCTCAAGTCCCCCAAAATTCATATTCAATAGCTTTTTTTATCTGAGTCTCTGAAAGTATATTTAATGATGTCTTCCAAAACAGAGAGCCCACCACTTTTCTCTGGCAACAAATAATATTTTAAAGGAATAGTTTAAAAAGTGACTTTCAGATAGCCCTTTTAATGGCGAATATGGAAATATATGAAATTGTAGTTGATTTTCTTTGGGGTAGGTTGCTGAAAGAGGCTATTGAAAAGTGGCTTTACCTGATTTCTCTGTTAAATAATATAACAGATGTGTTAAATGTTTTAAAAGCACCCTATTCAGTTCTTTGGTGTTGCTGAACCTTTGCAAGCAGAAGTGTGCAGCCTCAGCCATGCAGCCTTTATCCTATTAACCATGAACTAACTGTCACCTTCAGCTGTTTTCTCTTTTTACTTTTTAACACAAAGCTTTCTCAAAAATCTTATTAACCAGCTTTATTTCTCTCGATGGTTTTTGTCTGGGTGTTTTGTGTTGATTATCTCCATGTCGATGCTTTAACCATTCAATAAAAGTGCATCTGCGATTTATATCACATTAGGGAAGAAAGAAAGTCTGTTAAACTTCTCCCTTGATTCAAATCAAACAGTTATTTATTAGAGAGGACGGAATTGGCCATCGAAACTATATGATGCTGACAAGTTTTCCCAATGCGATTTCCAAGGCTCCAACAACCTATCGCTTTGTAAGAGTATATGGTGATTCAGAAGATCTTCAGGAACAGTTTAAGAACTCTGCGATTTTTTAAATTAGTGTTAATGTTTTGCAGAAGGAAGGAAGAAAGAAAGAACCCAGCAAGACCTACAAAGGAACCAAACTAAGCTCAAATGAAGCCCCGTTCCAAAACACCTGCACTTGGGAGCTGGCATAGTTTTATGCACTACTCCAAGTCACAGTGGGGAGGCTTGGTCGGCCGGTACCATATCCTGCTCTGTTTTCTGCATTTACTTTTCTTACCATAGCATTTCCCTACGGATAAGGCGAGACCATGCTGTATGCCTGGCTGCTCTCAAGGTGTTACTTTCAGGCAAGTGGAACAGTAACAAATAAAACAATCGAATAGAACGCTGCAAACAATAAATAATGAATTCTCCCCACTTCCCACCCCCAAACGCGGCATTTCCCAGCAGAACTTGTGTCTAGAAGAGCAACCCAGGCGGATCTGAGAACACACAGTTTTTACAGGTTTCAGAGTAGCAGCAGTGTTAGTCTGTATCCGCAAAAAGAAAAGGAGTACTTGTGGCACCTTCGAGACGAACCAATTTATTTGAGCATGAGCTTTCGTGAGCTACAGCTCACCTCATTGGATGCAGTGAGCGGTAGCTCACGAAAGCTTATGCTCAGATAAATTCCTTAGTCTCTCAGGTGCCACAAGTCCTCCTTTTTCTTTTTTATAGTTTTTACAGTCATTATGTTCCACTGAGATTTACTCCTTTCTTTACACATACATCGGGGGCATTTTCCCTCACTATAGACCAACTGCTGCTAATTTCTCTGGCTTTTAAAAAAGGGGCTGACATCTTCTGGAAGGATGGGTCAAACGCATGCTGTGGTACACGTGGACCCAGTTCCTTGTGATATGTCTTAGCACACTCATAAAGAATTCCTTAAGCACCAAGGCAAAAGGGACTAGACATCTATTGAAAGGGAAGATAGACCATAAGAAACCAAGAAATCGGACGAAAGGATCTTATTTTAAGTGATCTCCTTTGGAAGTTTCTTTTCAAAGGCAGTGATCGTTTAAGAGAAGGGAATTCTAATGTCTGGAGATAAAACCTGTGACTAATGCCGTTTGACCTATGCTCATGTGGTTTTGTGCTTCCTGCCATTCATTTTAATGTCGTTATCTTCAAATTTATTTCTTAAAAGTCACTCACGTTCTTTGTCGCCCCCTCTTAGTTTAAAAAAAAAATAATCGAGAGGAAAAACTTTGAAGTCTCTGTGTGTCTCACTCCCAGCCTGCTGGTAATCTGCACGGAATTGTCCGGGAGAACCAGAACTTCGCACTGCTTCACCTAATATACAGAATTTTGTTTGTGTCAGTTAGATCATCTCCTCCCGTTTAGTATCATTTGTACAATGTCACTCCGTGCCGGTCCTATTTACAAGGTCTCAATCATTTTGGAAGAAGGATAAGCGACGCCTGAAACGAAAGGCAGGAAATAACTTTTAAAGACCAGGGATTTGATGCTACAGAACCTCATAATCGATTGGTTGATTTTGTAGGTCCCTGTAAAAGAGAGATTGGGTAGGGTTTTGTTTAAAGCTCTGCAACGTTTTACTCAACTGGCATTGCCCGCCAAGATATTTGCACAGCTGCTCAGCTTGCAAATCAGAAACATGAATCAATTTCAGAACGGTTCGCGGGCAAGTCTCTTCATGAAAATGGAGAGCCCAGCAGTATTTTAGAGGTTACGTCTGTCTCACTCACACAGTTACTGTGTCTTGTACCCGCCTTGGGCTTGTAGAACAATTTCAAGATAATAAACAAATGAAAAGTTCTGATTTGTTTTAATTAAGCAGAAAAAATCAGACCCAAACCCAAACGCTTTAACTTAATATTCAGCTGTAAACTATCACAAAGGAAAATGATCGTGGAATATCTTTATAAACCATCACCAACTTTAATGCACTATTTGACATGTGCAGCGATCAAAGGAGACAGACTGGTAGCCATCAGTTTGCTCCATTCTATATATTGGTCTTTAGTTGCTAAACACTTTTTTGCAAGCACATAAACTCCTGAAGCTCTTTGTAAAGCGCTCAAGTGCAGCTGGGAGCCAGGTAGCAGTTTGTCGGGAGCCTCCCTGCTGCGGATTCAGAGAGCGGAAGGGCTCTGTATACTACGGACACTTTGACTCGTTGTTCTGAAAATCTATAGAGTAAAGATATATGTGGCTTTTATTTTTCCTGGGGGAGGGGAAGGTGGATGCTCTATCCCTCGAGTTTAATGCGTTTCCAAGCTTTTTAATGATGCTTATCCACCTCGTTGAGAGCTTAAATGCAGGGCTGTTGGTGCGAAGCTGTATTAAGACACCTAAGGCGTTCACCTTTAGAATTCAACACAAGGAACAGTAACTGTTGGTTCGTTCAAAGCTTTTCTAGATCCCTCTTTTCTTGAAAATCCTTCTATTGTGCCAATCAAGCAGATGGTTTGCAGGAAATATAGCTTGGCCCCAGTGACCGAAACTAATTTTAATTAGCTTTCCAAGCCTGGCACGTTTGTTTTGCTCTTACAAAATAGCTAAAAAACAGCTGGCAAGGGTGAATTAAACCCATTAAAGACACATTTATAAGAAATTATATTCACATAGGTTGCCTGAACCCTCCCCCCACCCCAAGAGGGGAGAGAGGAGCGTATTGAAATGAAAATGTCTCCGAACACACTGCCCTCCTTAACATCGCTTGAAAGTCTCAAAACATTTTACTAAATAGATTAACTTGACTATTGTTTTGCATCACATTTATCAGCTTCATTAAGTGAATAGCTGAACAAATATATTACGCATGCATGAAAAGCTCTTTTGGGGGCTGCCTTATTGTGTCCTCAGCCCTGACAGGTGGTTAACTGTGTTCCCCCCCTCCCCGCGTAAAGAAAGAGGGGATCTTGGATAGAGCGCACAACCCAGACTTGGCAGAGAAACCTAGAGGGGAGAGCTACTTTCTTCTAACCCACCATTCATTCTAGCCGGCCCAGAGTGCACACAATCTGTAATGGAACCATATGATCTGATCATGTCAAAAGTAATTAACTTTAGTTTTGTCTTTGTCTTGCTTGCGCTTTACTAATGCATTCCAACCCTGTTTAATTTGCTTTTCTTTCAACTTTTGATTATTTTGTCGTTTTCATCTGTTTAGCTTTTCCTCACCTGTCCCTTTAATTTTTTTTATCTAGTGTGTTCCAGTCTTTCTG